GCCGCAGAAGGCCCAGGTTCAATCCCAGGCTCTGACAGAGACATTTCCTTCTTTTTAATCAGTTTATTCACTTCAGTCAGCAGAGGGAGAACTATAGCCAGGAAAGTCTATGAACTTCTAAGCAGAGCATTATGGATCATGCGGATTGTAGTATAAACATCAATCACAGAATGGGACTTATAAACATTTACAATACAGTTTCCATTGGACATTGAGGAGGAAGGGGGGTGGTGGAATAGCTTTTACCAGACTGTACTGGAAACCTCTTCCTTTTTGCAGCACGGGAACATCTGAACCACATCTACCTTGCACCTGTGCCAAGACTATTCTCTACCTATACTGTGCCTATACTGCATGCTGGTAAACTGGAGCTATCAATAAGTGTACAGTGCTCTTAATAAAGGGCCCCAACGATAGCCTGCAGAACAACACCTCAAAGGATTGGCACTCCCATAATAATCATTCTGCACTTCCTCTGCTGCCCCCCACCATCTTCCTTTTCTTTTGGACAGTGCATACCCAGTCATTCTAGGACTAGCATAGCCACCATAAATGCGTTCTGGCAGTATAGTTCCAGATTAAACTTTACTACTGCTCACTGCTGCACTTGAGGTGCCTTTTCTACTATTTATGTTGATTTGAATGCCAAATGTCATCTTACACCTAGTCCTTACTGTTAATCACGTTGTATGCTAAATTGTGTTTGTATAATTGTTAATCCACTTTATGTTTGCCCAGTTACCAACCATATTGCTTAACAATATATTAGATTTGCCTTTACTACCTGGTTTGGTGCTTGTTTTCTTTGATATAGTGCTACTAATGGGTACCAAGTATTACTTTCAGTAATTTCCTATGATATTGTATGTTTGTACACTCAGCCTGAGGGTTTGAGGTTCTTAGCAAAAAGGTTGATGCAAAGAACAGAGGACCCATCCTAATCATCGGCTCCTATGGAAGTAGTGCTACATATATAAGCCACTGGAGGAATCTTAGATACTAGGAACAAGTTACTTTACTTATTTTAAAAAATGACATAGTTCATATACTTAAAATTTGTTTTTTATTCACTTATACAGATTAACTATGTTTTTTGGCAGCACAACAGATTGTTTTTCTGTTTGCTTACAAGTGTGCCATTTATATTCAAGGAGATGAAAATCCAAATGGTGCCTGATCAAGTGTACCCATATTAAGAAGCACAAACATCAATCGTACCATGGTGAGCTGCTGAGAATTAACAGCTGTGATCACATTTAACTCATCTTGGGCTTTAATGTAGCGAACCAAAAGGACATTGTATCCAACTGAAGGCAGAGATAAAGCTAACAGTGCATTATGAATGACTGTGTTCGGTCATGTCAATATTATTATTACATATTCTTCAAGAAAAACCATACCTGATTGCAAAATAGGTTATCATTTTAAATTGAGGAGTTGTTTAAATGTCCCTGGGCACCAGCGTGTGAATGTGATCGCCAGAAAAAGTAACCACAAGCAACAGGGGTGGGATATCAAGTGAACATATTGCATTGCAGAATGGGAAAAGTATATGTTTGCATCAGTGGAACTGTCAGTAAAAGCAAAAATAACATATGATGCCCCATGTCAAAAGAATTAACACAACAGTTTTCCTTTATTTGAGTTCCCCTTCAACAGATAGATATTGCCAATAGACCCATTGATTTTCCTCTTCCTTCAACAGAGTGATAACACTCTTAAGTGAAATCACGGCTGTGTTACAGGGTTGTTTTAGGGTATTTTAAGGGCCTTTCACACTTTACATAAGTGATAAACAGGCTAAAACCAAACTCTAGGTACCACTTTTTAAGTAGCTACAGCTTGGTTAGGCCTTGTTTTATTCCCCCCCCCCCCCCCCCCCCCTCCGCCCCCCCCCCCCCCCCCCCCCACACCCCAAATATTCCCCTTCTAGCTGCAAAGGGGGACAGTAGATATGCAAAGCATCACAGTATAGGCAAAAATTATCCCCATTGTTGCAGATATACCCACTGAATGTGACTCTTTTAACTGAATGGGGGTGCCCCACAATCGCCCCTCTAAAGCGGCTTGCTAGTGTGACATGAAGTGAGATGGCAATACACCTCCTCTCCGCTTCTCAAATGCTCTCTGAAAAGTGATCGCTCTTCAAAGAGTAATGGTAGTGTAAACTAGCCCTGCTAGTTAGTCCAAACCCTTGTAATTGTCAGCTTTGCTGGAAAATTTGGTCTGCATGTACACATGAAAAATAAGAAAACAACAAAAAACAAGAATAATATAAAGAAAGGCATATAGGATAACAAAAGGGATACATACATTGAATACTATCATTCCATGAATTGATCACATACCGTTACCAGAATACAATAATTTTCAAATTAAAGCCTTTACTACAGGTCCTTTGTACTTGCATGCTATTAACTGAGACTGCTTCCTTTCCTACAACATGTAGCTTTTCATATGTAGAGACAAAACAGGAAAAGCTCATAGGCTTCTATCACTTAGGTAGGAGAGCTTACCACCTTCTGAAAAGTGGTCCATGGTAGAATGCTTTTCAGAAGGCAGTATAGAAGTGGCATTTATTAATTGATAAATGGCAATTTCCATTGGAGGACTGCCCCAAAGCTGTGAGCCAAGCATTTGTGGTGCCACATGTCAAACTCTGCAGCCCAAGTTAAAATGCTGCAGTGATGAATCAAAGCAGTGGCATATGTACACCTCTGTCTGTACCGTGACTGTAATGTTAAGATTTGAGTAGAATGCTAAAACAGCAGCTCAGCTGCCTGTTTTTACTGGGCCTCAGCCACTCATGTAAAAGAGCCCTAGGGCTCCATTCACTCCAGCAGTTAGGGCCTGTGTGAATTGTATTGGCAGGAATCTTCTGATTCCCGCTGTGGCTCTCGGTGTCTAAGTGCAGCCACTGACCCCGTTCACCATAAAGAAAGGTGGTGGGCAGTCACAGGTATTTGTGGCTCTTCGTATAGCCGCCAGTTACTTGCAGTGATAACTGCAGGTAATCAATGGCTGTGCGAACAACAACGATTCTCATTATAGTGAATGGGATCAGTGACTGCATCTAGCCTCTAAGAGCTGCAGTAGAAGTCAGAAGATTCCTTCCGATAAGATTTGCACCAGCCTACATCACTGGTGTGACTATAGTGTTAAGCCTTGTTTGCATCACATCTTTACAACCCCCCAATTGCTCCTCCTTAAGCTGGGGGGGGGTACATTTACAACTGCCCCACACAATGCACCCAGGTGGTGCAGGTTATTAGGGATTAAAACAGGTGGTGGGAAGGTGACATAACCCCTCCTCATTGCCTGTGAAATGCACCCTGAAGAGTGATTCACTAGAAATCGGGGAGCAACACAAGTATAAAATGTGTCCTTGCTTCATTATAGGAGCCTCTCATGTTTTCATCCTAGTCCAGAATCATAGATATAGATATGGTGGCCAAATGTCCCCAAATCCTTGGTAACGGGATTTACTGGTACCAAACCCCTTGACTAAAACACTGTGAATATGACCCTAACCAAAAAAAACGAATGAGGCTTTAAAGGGACCATACCATACATTAGAAAAATCTCAACAAAATATAAGATTACTTTTATTAATTATATTAATAAAAAAAAAGCCACCATAATGGTGGAACATAGCATTAGAACATATAGGGCATATTGGGCCTTTAAAGACAAACAATACTACAAAGTGTAGCCTACTAACACATGTACTAACACATGAAACAGATTGAAGCTCAACATCTTTGGTATAAAATAGTACTTGTAGGTTGCTCCAACATATTTGATACAGTTGAACAATTGTTCGTTACTCCAATGCGTTTCACAGGACAAGGCGCGCTTCTTCAGGGAGACAACGTATACGTTTCTTGAATCAAGCAAAAGTAGGCCCAAATGGATATATAACCATTACAATACTCAAGAAATAAAAAAACTGTCAGCATTTACCGGTTGGTAATATTGATGACTGCACCTAAGGCCAATGAAAGACAACCCAAGCACTTGGTTCAAGGATGGATGGAAGGGGACCCCTCAGTCAAAAGTATCAGTGGCTGCCAGACAGATGGAACCATCATTCCACAATAAAGAGCTAAAACATCGTTACAGATAATTCATTATATATTAAGATAAAATAAAAAAATGTCCCACAGAAATATCCTAGTTCAGAACCACTCGACATGGCAGTTGTGACCTATTTTAATCAATGATGTGCGGATAATATAAGCAGCAAACGTTATTTTAGGCAGCCATTCCAGATCCAAACACAGCATTTAGCAGAGTTTTTGAAGTAAGAACTGAAAGCTCTATTTCTTTTACTTCTAGAGGACACACTCACTGAAGCAGAATGTGCTGCAGGTGCACTCTACTATTCTCGTCTTATTCTGGATTGTAAATTGGCTGTGCGGCTGAAACTGCAACATTTGTTTAAGCAGTTCTGAAAACAAAAGAGACAAATAGAGTCTTTCACATGATTTGCTACAAGGACCTCATAATCCATCTGAAATGACACGGGCGCAATGCTCTCCTAATCCGATACAAGGCATTAAAGCTGGCATGATGAAGGCACCTTATGTTGTACATTATCCCGAGCACGCCACGTAAATAATGCTAATCAAAGCACTTTGTGAAAACAAAATAGGATCTAGATTTGTTTTATCTAAATAAGGAGTAAACGTTTGCTAACAAATATAACAAACGGAATTCTGCATTACAATTTTACTTATCTAAAGCGCATCATATGAACTTTAATCACTTTTTAGAAATTGGAGACTAAGAAGAGTCATTGAGCAATTTCTACAAAAAGTTTCTTGGAGAGGTACTCCTAAACATAGGCATACCTCCCAACAATGGAACTGAACAAAACAGATATTTGGTAGAAGGGTTAAGCAAGGAGTGAATATGAGTAAATGTGAAGAGCTTTAAAGTGGACCTCCCTCTCCCCCTTGCAATTCTAAATAAAGATTTAACATACATTTAGAGTGTTGCTAAACCCACAACAGTAAAATCAGTCTGTATATGCAGTAAAGCATGCTTGTTATACTCACTGTGGAATCGAAGGGGTTAATCCTCGACCTGGGGCGGACTGACCATTGGGGAACTCGGGCACTGCCCGAGGACCCGTGGTCAGTAGGGGGCCCCATGAAATGTCCCTGGTATCTTTCGTATGCTTTTTTGGGTGTGGTTTGAGTGTGGGCAAGGACACAGGGGCCCCATGATCCCCTATTGCCCGAGGGCCCCATGAGATGTCAGTCCACCCCTGTCCTCGACATTGTGTAAAAAGGCTATTTGATCCTGTCTTCTCTGATACTCCCCTTCTTCTACGGTCCCCATAACTCCTGATAGAACAGAGGCTTGGAGGCAAGCTGCACATGCTCTGTTTGGTGTGTATTGCTAGAGAGCTTTTTTTTTTTTTCTTAGGAGAGTACATGTGATCAGAACAGGGCCAATCAGCACTCTCCAGCACTGTCCAGACAGAGGGTCTTGGGTCCTGCAGCTTTCACCAGTGCTCTGCTGGACACTGTGGGTGGATCAGAAGGGTACAGTACAGGGGGCAGTAGGGAACAATGTGGGTAGGTCAGGAGGGCACAGCCCACACTCTGGCCTACTGCCCCTTGTACTGTGCCCTTCTGACCCACCAGGTGGGTGGGTCAGAAGGACACAGTACAAGGGGCAGTAGGCAGTAGGCCAGAGTGTGGATGGGTCAGCCTTTTTGGACTGTTTTGAATTTTTTTTGCCTCTGCAGCTGCACACACACCAGATAGCAAAACAATCATTAAGATAGCCCTGTTCAGAGCTCCTGGTCATCCCAGCCAGCACTCAAATTAACCTACACTTAATGTAGTCTGTTTGTTGACTATATAGTAACCGCTGTAGGCGTACTAACAATTATGTCATCATATACAATATTCAATGGGCTTTTTTACTGCAACTATGGCTTGCCGTTTTTTTTTTTCTATTAAATCAACCTTTTTCTGAGATCTGAGATGATGCAAAATACTGATGAGCTACTGAGAATAGAGTAGTTAGCTTGAAAATGAAGGTTAAAGTTAATTTCATTAAATGATTCTCCCATTCTTCCCTGACATCGTCTATCCACAGTACGATTTGCCCCCACTATATTGGTTTTGCTGACAGCTTTCCTGCTACCTCTCCCCGATATAGATATAGTTTATGTTAGGATTAATGACAGTAAGGAAGTCACAGGAGGGGAAGGGGCATCAAACTTTTGCTATGAAGTCCATTATGCCCCTACCTGCTGGTATAGGTAGGGGTAGGGTTAGGAAATGTTCCTGTAGTGTGTGTGTATTTTCAATACAGCTATATTCTGCGATATTATTTCACTGTTTAGTTAAAGTAAAATCTTAAACAAGTTCTGTTCTTCATAAACATGCTTTTCAAAACTGGTGTTATTGTATTCATTATAGAGATTTGTACGTTGGCCAGTAGAGGGAGACTTCACTGGATGAGTGCAATTAAACTACCTTTTTCTTATCAGATGTTGAGATAAGAGATCAGCTGCATACTCATTTCCATTTTCACAATAAAGCTCATAATGTTACGTATACAGTTAAGCATGAAGTAATGACTGTAAATGAAATCAGCAAATATGGCTTTCTCAGTTTACATATACTGTATAATGACATGTTATACAGAGAAACAATGTTTTTTTTATAATATTAGCACATATTGATACGAATACTTATGTCAAGTTAAAGTGTTACTAAACCCAGGACCCTGCATCCACTATATCTGGTCTCCCCACAGTACACGGTACATAGAAAAGCAATTATTTTATAAAACTGCTAAATACCTTTTCTCATCAGAAATTAAAGCAGTCTTGTGACTTCTATCAGTGTCCAGCCCATTAGTAGCTACAGCTTGTAGGGGTTTTCGTTATGCTCTAGAAGGATGCAGAAGCCCTGACCTTTGTCTGGACAGTGCTGACTGGCCCTGTGCTGATCACATGCACTCTCCCAAGGAAAAAAAAAATCTCTCTAGCTAAACACATCAAAATGAGCATGTGCATGCCTAGGGTTCAGTCTGGAGATAAGAGGTGGTTGCTTGAAAAAGGGGAGGAACAGAGAAGAATGGATCAAACAGCCTTTTTACTCAATGCAGAGAATTAACCCCTTAGGTTCCACAGTGAGTATAACAAGCATGCTTTACCTGCATATACAGACTGATTTTACTGTTGTGGGTTTAGTAACACTTTAATCTATTTTACATGGTAAAAAAAACAAAGTCTTTAAAGTTCTTTATAAAACTTTTGGTGGCTCCATATTTTTGTTTAGTTAACAGACATCGGCTGTACATAATCACTGCATGTATTTCAAGCTGTGAGCATAAGCCTATTTTCATGCAACAAGATAAATTACATTTGGGCTTCAATGAGTAATACATCTCAATGGTACTTTGATGTAATAGAGGAGATCATACTCTTGTTAGAAAAGTTTCACTTATTTTTGACATTCTGATTAAGAAATATATGATAAAGATGCAATAAAAATAGTCTTTAAATTACCAAGAGAACTCACATTAAATCTTGCATAGATATCATTAAGTGATGACATTTTACAAGCCTCTTCTTTCCAGGTTATATAATCTGTAGCATAGATTCACTGGCATTTTGTAGAGAAAAAAATCTATTGTAACAGAAATGAACCAGAAACGTTATTATTAAAAAAAAGTCACTAACACATGTTTCACTGGATGCTATAATTAATAAAATACAAGCTATGCCTATGGTAACAGATGACATTTTGTTTTAATTAACAATGCAATCTGAAAATAACAATCTGCATAATGTAAAGCAAGCAATTGAAAATTGGCTGTTATAAATATTTATAAATGATAACGAGCAAATTGGACCAAGCTTTTATTTTTTCCTCTTCCTCTGAATAAGATTCAGTATAGAGTTTTTTTCTTTTTTACTTATTTCTGTATTAATATTTTTTTTTAGAATTTATTGAACTAGATGGACTATGTTACTGTACAGCAAGTCATTCCATGCCACAGTGCTTTGCTATTTTATTCAACACAGTCAAGTGGCTAAAAAGAATAAGAACTCTAGAACCACTGAGATTGCTTTAGTTTTTCTCATACTGGTTAGAAATGAGAAATCAGTTATAGATATTCTGGGCCAGATTTATACCTTTTCCCCCCAGAGCTACTTTTTTTTTATGTTACTGTCCCACAGTTCTATCCAAATTGATTGGCTATCCTTGGTAGCAAATAATAAGAGCAGATGTAGTCACGTAAGGATTGTTGAGTCTGGTGGCAGAGAGGCTAAGGGTATGCTCATGCTGACATTTGAAACTGTGTCCAGGCATGGTTCCACCTTGCTCCGGCTTGATAGCATAGTGTGACTGCTCCGAGGAATGGCTAAGCATTCTGTGCGCCACTTCGGAGAGTGGTCCTGGGCACAATTTACTTGTTGTGGAGCTCACTTCATTGTGAGTTCTAACTGTGCCTGAGCACAGAACTCTCCATAGAACATCGAACACTAAATCAGGAATCACTGTGGTCTGGTTGGCAGAGGTGATGATGTCAGTGTGCCCTCAAACACCTGATTATAGCCCAGTGTGAGGGTATACCAGCAAAATGGTCATGAGTTACTGCTTGCAGTAGGGTTCTTTAAATGGATCCAGCAGTAATCTCCAAGTACTTTCAAATTGGAAAGCAACAAATATAACCATCATGAGCCAAGATTGCTCCCATCTCTCCCATCACATCCTGGGAGGAGCATTTATATATACTATACATAAGGCCCCTTTCGCATGACTGTTCACGTTAGTTTTTCAGGCAGACTTGATCAGAAGGTCCATGCAGCCCTATGAATAGGAGAGTGTAAATGGACTTATGTCCATTTTGGTTGGGAAAAAGACATGGAAGGGGACTGCATCCTTTTCAATTTTTGTGGACCAGGTTTGAAACAGCCTGAAGTAAGCGGACTGCGATTTCCATTTACATCCAGTCGTCCAGAGTTGACATGGGTCTACCAGCCAGAAACTGAACAGGCATGGATGTCAACATACTGACATCCCTGCCATTTGCAGGCAATCTACTCACAGATTTCCTGCTGAGAGGGCCGGAGTCTGCTTCATGTGATAGAGGCCTAAAACAACATAAAACATGAACTTATAATAGACTGCAACTATACACACTATGATATGTATAAAATATCTTGGAACTCAAGGAAATGTTACATTTCAAACAATAATCCTGTCTGCCACTGGTTAACTAGCAGATACCGGAGCACAGGTTAACCCCTTCAGTGCTGGTATTAGAAATCAAACCTTAAATGTAAGAGCATAATTACCCTGTGATGTGAGGGGAAAAGGGGAAAAAGGAAGTAATGAATAAGAGATCTGGCTGACCTGCATAGAAAAAAGGAAGAAAATAGGAAAAAGACATTATCAGAAGTGGCTCCATAGCCAATCACAGTGGTCATGTGATCGGACAGTCCTCCCCACCGCCCAGGCATGGTTAAAGGGACACCAGGGCTTGGTGGGAAGGATTTAACCTATTCTTCCTTAACTCAGGCTTTTTCATCCCAGTGTCAGGATGGATGTCTATTCTCACAAAGCCATGCCTCTTCTCCCAGTTGTGCGGCTATGCCCTCTTGACATGGTTATCTACAATGCAGGACCAGGCAGCTACCGCTGGCTTGTTCGGCATCGCACTTGATGAGTACTGCCCACATTCTGAACCTGAAGGTGCAGTGTGGATGATCGTCAGATGTTGGAGAAGCAAGTAGTAAGGTAAGTAATTTGCTGTATTACACCTGATTAGACTAAATAAGCAGTCATTTATGCTCATTTAGTCTAGGGAGGGGGTACTCTAATGGAAAGTTTTCATTGCTGCAGAGAGTTCAGCTTTACAGGGCACCTGTGCTTTGTCCAGTGTTCTCTCCTCGCTACATGTTTCCCTATGTGTAACTTGACATGCAGCTAAACACTCCTTTTCTGCAATAAGCCAGGTTGAATGTAACCATAAAGCTCTATTAAAAAACAAGGTTGTGAAACTATAACCCCCCCCCAAAAAAAACAGATAAATATATACAATCAATGTATGATACATACAAACAGAATAAAATAATTGAGCTGCGGATGGCAATAAGTTCATGCTCACCAGCGATCCTGCCTGTAGGGGATGTACTTTCGATCCACAACATGTGCTGCAGAGAATTATGGCTATTTTCTTTCCCTCAAGTCTTAAGATGGAGTTTGAGCTCCCAGGAAGCACCTGTTTTCTTTTCTTAGAATAAATTATTTTTTTTTTTATTAAGGCTAAACAGTCTCTAGTTTCTGTAAAAGAGTACATTTATTCCATGCTCCATCTAGTGACAGAAATTATTATTGCAAAATGATTTTCCCTGCTGAAGGCAGGACACCCAGGAAACATTACCTCCTCAGCAGTATATACTTTTTTAAGCCATAATTTTCTTTTGATCCTTCGCCCTTTCATTCAGCCACCAGAAGCGAAGAAAGACAGCTCCCTGTAAAT